ACTATGAGAGTATGATCTGGAGATAATCCATGTAATGTAATGTACTATGTAATTTTATGATCATAATGTTATTTGTATTGATTGTGTTGTATACTGTCATGATTATTGAAGTGTTATAATTCTACGAATAATGTATTATATTTAATGTATTGTTGTCAATGTATAGATATATATATATATAATATCTTAGTTAAAAATTGTCTAATGCCAATTTTTAATTCTCTAAAGAGGGGTGTGTGACTGATTTACTATTATATATATATATATTTATATCAATATTTGTTTAAGTTAAATTTATATTTAGAAATGTACATAACTTATACTGTTAAATCTGAATTGCGAAATTCCAGTCTATTCTCTAAGGTTGTAGACGATTCTCGGATATAAGAATCAACAATATACGTGTGTACGTAAATGCTAGTATAGTGTTTGTATTGTTACATAACTTGAAGTTTCGATAAACTCTCCACACGCCCATAAATATATCCAACGCGATGCGCCTATAAACAGTATCTACTATTGGTTTGCTATAGTTGGTGTGCTATAAACTTCGAAAGCTATAACTGTGATTGTTATAACGCTTATTAATCGGGGCACTGTAGATATTTGACCAGGAACATTTATAAATTTTGAACATTACAAACCATTTAACTTCAGTGGATTCACGTGAGACATTAGTACTTTTACGAAAACATTACCCAACTAGCTAGCTCCCTAGTAAGTGAATTGTACTTACATCAACTCGTAATTAACTCGCTCATCGTGAACCCTCGATAAGATATCAAGAAAGACTTTATATTGCATTGTAAAACTTTTGTATATAAATCATTGTTGGTAATAATAATTTGTAATAACTATAATTGTATATTGTCTTACTGTTTGTATATTAAAATATATTTGTATTAAAAAAGAAAAATGTGTGTATCAATCTTATCGGCAAATATCATAAATTGGATACATATCAGCATTTCTTTAACTACTAAACTTAAATTGCAATTTAACTCAGTATTAGACTATTTGAAATTGTAATACGTAACAACAGAGACAATGACTAAAGTTGGTACTTTTCCAATATCTACATTCTGAAGCTCTCTGCCAACTCCACAACCTTTGACCAGCTGGAAACGTAAGTGTTAAGAAGAAAATTGGGTGCCGTGGGTTTGTGGAGAATTGGTGCAAAACTTGTGAAGTCTGTTATGAGTCAATAGGTTTATAAAATAAACAACACAGGCAGCTACACCAGTATTGTGTTGGAGCATAACTGGAGAGAGTCACTATTCATTTGCTTAGCCCTCTTCCCCAGAATAACAGTTGTAATAGATGAAACATAATTGTTATGGACTATTACACCAAATGGCCAGAAGCATATGCTGTTCCTAACCAGGAAGCAGTATTTCTTGCAAAGAAAATCGTCAAAGAATTTGTTTTAAAATTTAGTATGCTCATCTAATTTCTCTCTGGTCAAAGACAGAGTTTCAAATCAGAAATGTTTGTGGAAATGTCCAATTCTTAGGATTAGATAGACCAGGACAAGAGCCATTCATCTGTCTTCTGCTAGCATGATGGAGAGATCCAACTGTACACTGTTAACCCATACAGTCATGGATTTAATTGAACATAAGAAAATGTTGGATCAAGATTCTCCACTGTTACTGATGTATTATCTTACAGCACTACATGAAGCTACCAGCAACACACCGTCATTACTGATGTTCTGGAGAGAACTAAAAGTGCCATTGGATCTTCTGTACTCCTTCTTATCTAGAGAACAGTCATCAAAAGAGTCATATATAGGATAGGTAGAGAGATTAAGGAAAGCCATCGATGGCTTAAACAACTTTACCCGAGAAAGAATTAAATAAATTAGTAATAAAATGAAAAATTGCTATGGTGTTAATGCTGATAAGACTGGATTCCCTTGATGTGACATGGTATGGCTGTACAAACCATGCTGCAAGAAATAATGAACTAAAGTTAAGCAGGTGCTAGGAGGGATCATATGCTTTACTGAAAATAATCAATGATGTGGTTTACAGAAGCCAGTAGATGGATGATCCAGGCCTAAGGTCATCAATCATGATCATCTTTGGAAGTACATCAGTGAGATAATGGCTAACTCGGTAATTCCAGAGAAGAATTTACTAGCAGAACCTCATTCTGATGAAGACCATGACGTTCCTGTCGAGACTACTTCCAGAGGATCAACAAGGCTAGAACCACCAGCAGATTCACCTGATCACTAACTCATGAAGACAGGACAGCCAGTTACAACAAGGGACAAGATGTCATCTCATCTGCATACCATGGATCTTTGAAGAGAAAATCACCAAAACCTCGTTGTATATCAGGCTCTTCAAATGATAGCACCACTCTGACCAACAGATACTGATTTCATTTTATTCAATAGAAATAGACTAGTTATTAGTTAGAGGTAGATATCTGGTTGTGACTAATAGATTTCACTCATAAAACAAATGTAGTCAGATCTGAGATTGGCATCCTCATGTGAATTTATTGTGGAAATTATCAGTTACTTTCGTGTGTGCAGTTGGTAAATTGTTTTTTAACAGGATAATAATCCGATGTTGGCCATACCAAACCCAGAAATGATCTGTGCTTTAATATGGCTAAGGTCTATTGTGTTGATGCCATGACAGTGATAGAGCCAATGCAAAATACGAGCTCTTTTCTGCCCAGAAAATAGGCTGCATTAGCCCACACAGTTATCTGTCAAAGAGGAGATGATTCATAGTGTTGTTTTTTAATTATTGGCAAATAAATATTCAGCTTTACACTGGAATGATATTTGAAGTGTTAATGAAACTGAAGTAGCTGAAGTTGGTGATGATGCTAGAGTTGTGTTCATCTTGCCTCATCTTAAAGCAAGTATGAGTCTGTCAACCAATCTGAGATCGTTGATTGAAGATTACGCAAATAATCTGAAAGCAACACAGAAAAAATCAACCAATTGGCTTGTAGGTTGAATATACCAATGTATATGGTTGAATATGTATATAGGTGGGCAGAGCACAGACAGCCTTTAGTGTAGCTTTGTGCTTAATTACAAAGAAACAGACTGTTCTTATCCTAAGTTCAACTCCAGCTGTCTGGAGTGTGTGTGTGTGCTGTAAAGTCAATATGCTGCATGTATAAATTCTAGCTTTGGTAAGGAAAACATTTTGAGGGTTAAACGAGAGTATCCTTGGTTGGCAGAATGTTTTTTATGGTTTTGTTCTGACAGAACATCTATTTTCTTGTCTTTAACAGATTTCAGATTGCTGGTCTTGTCATTTTGGACAGCTACGAAGTGTTACAGAAGTTGGGATTGTTAATATTCTTCTTCTGAATGATGTACATATTCAGTGTCATATAGATGAAGACGTTAATTGCCTCAGTGTACGAAGTACAAGCTTCCAATGCCGAGTTCTTCTTTTTTTTACTAGAATAGCTAACTTGGTACCATAGTGGGTTAAACTATGAGACAAAGCTGAGATGGGAGATTAATTTTTACCCAAGGCACACCAGATGGCATTGGCGTCAAAATAGTTAAAGTTCTTGCCTGTAGCAAAGGCCACCTAAATGTCCACAGCTGGATTCAAGTTGTGGAGATCATAGAACTTGCCACAAGGACATTAGTATTCATAGTGCAAACAAAGCAGGACCTAGATACATTTTCCAAGTCTTCCTTCAGGTGATTCAGTAATCTTTTGTTTGCCATTGTCTTGTTAACTGATTTTCTATGTACTTTTTATAAGATATTATTGCAACTAATGGTTAAAAATACGAAAAATTACAGGGCTCATTTATGACTGTCTTTATTGGATTAAATGTCATAATGGAAGGTGAGGGTACTGAAAAAGAGAAAGTGGAAATATTACTGATAGAAAACTAAAGAACATTTGTGTTTTGCACCTTGCTTTGAATAAATTGAATTTCATGAATATTATCATATTGAAATAAATGTCTGTCAGTTCGAATATATTATTTTTGGGGTAATTTTTAGCACCAGACAAATACTTTTAATACAGAAATGTGTTGCAAACCAAACTAAAGCCTTTTTCATGGTATACAGAAGGATGAAAGCACACTTTTTTGTCAAAGCCAATGTGTTCATATTAGTAACAAAAAACATGATCTTTAAATTCGAATATGTTAAATGGTGTAAAATGAGTAATAAGGGCCTTAACATTCAGTGATTGATTAGATCATAGCAAAAAGTGATACCGTAGAGCTTAAGAAAAAAAAGAGAAAAATTAGTGCTGCTTCAGGCCTATACCCATGTTGAGAAATATGTCTCTAAACTTCCTGATTAACTGATGTGATTGAAGGAAATGGTAGTGTCATGGTAGTGGATAAATCACTCAAGCCATTAAAGCAGTCTCTATTGGTAGTAGTAAGACAATATTATTTTAGTGTGTATTTATTTACATACTGATTTCAAGTCAGAAGGAATACTGTGTACAATTTTGGTCTCTTTATTTCAGAAAGGATATTGACTTATTATATAGGGTTCAGGGGGATCCTACTAGGATTATTCTTGGGGTGGACGGATTATCGTAGAGAGATACATTAAGATCTATGGCTTTGTTTTATCTTAAGAAAGAAAGATAAGACGTATTCTTATTGAAATTTGCAAGATCATCGGGGATCAATAAACTAAAGGTCTCCAAGTTCTTTGTACTACATTCTGAAGATAATAGGACGAGAATACACAAGTTTAAATACTGGAAAATACAGGTTAGGCTTCAATTTTCTAATTTTCGAACAGGGTGAGTTATTTATGGAATGAGTTACGTGGTCAGTAGTGGAGACATATATTTTACAGGAATTGAATGGGAATCGATGATTTCATGACAAGTAAAGGGTGGGCCTTAATGTTACTTATCCTAAGGATGTGTGTGTGTGAAAGGACATCCTTTAAGGACTAAATGATTCGTTTTCGTCTGGCGTTTATGTTATACTATCTGATAATCAAATAACAAAGTATCAAGACGCTTTACAACTCTATTTTTATTTTTGGCACGATACATGAAATAGATTTCCGTCAACTGACGATTATTCTATCGCGTGTAGACAAAACATGAAAACATCAAGATTAAATTACTCAGTGATTCATACATAGATTACAAGCCTTTAAAACACACCAACCACAGGATTTAAATAGGTTTACTCAGAGAGCTAATACACACTTTAATGGTTCTGTTTCAGTTAAAGCGAGATTCGGCAGCCTTTACAATAAAACTTCTTTAGTCAATTAAGTTAAAACTAAAGAAACTCAATATCATTATAGTGTAAATACAATAAATAGTTATGTAAGAGAGAGAGGGTATTAGACGAAACGAAACAAGTCATATCGGAGCAATACATTTAAATACATGTTAAGACTTGATAGGTAAATACATTATAAAGATCAGATATGGTAAAGTTCTTATGCTTCTCCGTTAAACAAGCTATCTCTGTGATTACATCATTAAGAATATTAATAGAATAGCTGTTTTTATATTCAGTTTTGGTCTGGGTATTCTAATTACACTCACAAAGAAAAGCCATCTTTCTGTCTAGTTTTGGTTTGGGTAGGTTTATTCTGTACAACAAAAAAGTCACACACAGTCCTGGAGTGAAAGCCAGAACTGAAGTCACACAAGAAAAACGTAGCCGTATAACTTAAAAACACGAATATAGATAGTTAGTTCAAGCCATTTCTGAAAACGTACTCTACAGTGTCAAACAACGCTTAAACTATAGTAATACAAGAATAATGTTGAAATGTTTGTGATACAAGTGTCTGACATTTAGTCATCTGAGTTAAAACGTGTCTATATAACCTGAAAAAACAAATACAGGAATAGATCTGAATTCGTAATACCAACGGTTGAATTTCACTGTTCTGTGTAAAAAAGTGGTTATGTTTAGTTTGAACATGTATAATTACAGAAACAGGACCAGAAATAAAGTCGAAATCATTTCTTAAACCTACGTTAGAATTCTGGGTAAGTTTTTATATAATTGTGGAAAATAGCAACATAACCAGCGTTTTAAAATTTACACAACTACTTACATTACATCATATTTGCCTAACGCATGAGAATTAAAGGTTAAAAATGACACTAAACGTTGATCTTATAACCTTGTTGAATGGCCCGTGAGTTTAAGTATTAAAGAGAAATAGATAGCCAAGCTTAAAGTAGCATTTTACTTTACGTGTCAATATCTCCAACAAGCATTGAGAATTATTGATTTCTAGTTAAGAAGACATATTGATATTTATAATACTAAATCGTGCTATTCTACTACACTGGAATTCCCAAGACTTCTTGGGGAATTATCATTTATTTATATCGATTACAACATTTGTTACATCACAAACCATGCTTTGTCTTTATCCTGGTGACCAAGAGTTCCAGAGAAGCATCTACAGAACAGGAAGATAGACAACAAGCATGGGGACAGAAGGAACGTCCAGTAATTTTAAAGTTATTTATTTCAACATTCTATACTCTATGTAGAAATACAATACAAACCTCTAATAACTAACTTGACAAAAATTATGAGACAAAATGATCCAGTTTTTACCGGAACAAAACCGACATAATTCAAACTCACTGTAAACATATCGAATATTGTATCTTTTAAAATTTTAGTTCCTTGATTTACTCATCATTCGTTACTAACTGCTCATCAAGTTGAAATATTCTCTATCGTCTTATTTTCTTCACTATTTACTAGAACTGGTGTATTCCATTCCCCCTTTGATAAACTAATAGCCGGAAATCCCGGTGAAAGCTACGTCAAAACATCACACGAACAAGCTGTCTTATTTTACAGTCCTTAAAACAAGTTTGTTTTGTTTTTTACAACTAAGTGGTTATTATTAGTACTTTAATCACTATACAAAAGTAAATTGAATACAAATAATCGCGAAATACTAACTTAGACTGTTGGTCGCTTAGATCAGAGGGAAATAATAATGTTTTCTACTTCCACCAGACGCCTCTTTGGTAAGGGAAATAAGTCACTATTCTTAGCAGCTATACATACACCCAGTGGCTCATCTGTGAAAGAAAATTCTGTGTTAAAATACTGAAAGTGTATGGTGTGCTACGATTATCTTAACGAACCAATGAGTTTAGTGGGTAATATTACATACAACAGAAACTATAAGCATCTACAGTTCAGCTCTAAGCTTTGTTTATTATGGGATGGTGACTTATTCTCATAATTCAGGTTTTGATGATTTAGTACTTATGTATAGTTATATCATTAAAGCGCTAGAGAACGCTACCATAGCTTATGACTGCCCAACGACTCTACATTACGATTTGTTTTCTCAAATGGCCCAAATGTGGCCTAGCTATCGGGCTGCAGATTGGAAGGACTAAGATTCGAGACAAGGTGTACTACTGAACACATTACACATTTGCAGCAGTAGGGTTATTATAAAAATAACAGAGAGTCTCTATTTGGAATGAAAGTTATACACTTTCTAAGCTTCTAAATTAGGGATGTCTGAACCCCGAGGGTTCTCACTTGGCCGTTTAAACCACATATCACATAAAATGTCCTTTAAGAAAATTACCACAACGTTTTAACGAGTTATAGTGAATAAGAGGAAGTTTAAAACCGCCTTTCAACACTGCATTCATACTTCTTATCATGAATTAGTTTTAAATATCATTTCACGAAACCTTCTGGATGGTTGTAAAAATCGCAGGTTTCTTCTTCACCTATACTTCATTTATTCTTTTTGTGGAATTTTACAACCAGTAATCGTTTTAGTAACTGAAAATGTTTTAACATTAGTATAAGCAATAAACATTTGTTGGATAAAACAGTACTTAGAACAATTAAATGAGAGTACAAAAACGACTGTTGGTGGGGTCTAGCATAACTAGTCTTGTGATTGCAAGTATAATGCAACTTTCTCCAGATAAAAGCTTACTTATCGGATGTGTTGCAAAGAAAAGATGGCAGTAATGTTAACGTGACAATGACTTGCAGAGTCTTCCCTCGGTTTTTTGTGCAGATATCTAGAACAATATATATACAGTTACAGAGTAAAGCATGTAAAAATGTGATAATATTTAAGTCTAATCAAGGAAAAAGACGTTAGTGTAGCGTATTTTTGAACAATATGCAACATTGTAAAGATCATTCTGAACAACTGTTTTTAAATAAGGATACTAGGTTAGGTACAAAAACTGGCAAGGAACCTTGGAATTATCTTATTTCATGAAAGGTTAATTTTGTTTACCTGGCTCGAATTAGGTTCAAGTTATTGGTATATTCTGAAAGCATATCAGCCAATTTTCGATACTTATTCTTTTATTACTTTGCTCTCTTTCAGTTACAGCAAGTCTAAAAGACGAGGGGTGGGTGGTGGCATAAGATTATTGGAACCAGCTCTTGCATTATGAAAGCTATAGTCTATACGTTTAGTGAGAATACATAATTAAGATCCCCCAGTGGCACAGAAGTATGTCTGTGGACTTACAACGCTAAAAACCGGGTATCGATACCCGTGGTGGGCAGAGCACAGATAGCCCTTTATGTAGCTTTGTGCTTAACTACAAATAATCAAGTATAATTGGATGAATCATGAGCATTTTTTGGAGCTTTATACTCTTGTAAATGTTCTTATTTCAATCTTTCGAAGTTCCTAACCAATGAAAACATCATGTCTTGGCTCAATACATATTGCAAATACTTCTTTCTACGGATAGCTTACTTTCGGCAAGAATATATATAGTATATTAAGTATCATAATAACACTATCCCAAAGCCGTGCCTTCATAACTGAGTGTGTTTAATTGTGAAGCCAAATATATACATCAGAAGGTAAGCAATGTTAATTCGTCACCCAAAACAACGTAAACCGCGATCAGCCTGTCATACCTTATTTCTTACGCCTTACAAAAGACTTATACAACGTGATAAGGTAAGCATAAAATCAAAGTTACAGTATACGGAATGTCCAAAGGTTATGTGACGTATCACAAACGTAAACCGAGACAAGACAGCATCAATTACGAACATATGGTTTGTGGTAGATGAAGGGCACGTGTATGCACTTTTTTACCCAAATAAGTGCAGTTACGCACAACGCATGCTCCGTCATTAACAACAACGACAAAAAAAACAGCGAAAGAGAAGGCTATGTGCGTTTTGTGGTTACCAGAGATGAAGTAGCCTACTCTAGTGCAAAAACGATAACGTACAGTGTGTGGAAATGATTAAAGGACTGCTTCAAGATCCAGGGATCATGTTACACAAGGAAGGAACCGCGATTGGCAAGTCATCACTCCTTTGACCTTTTTCTCCTGGGATCATGTGAAGGACATTGTCTAAAGGACGAAGATGCTTGATTTGGGGACTCGACGTGAACGAGTGGATAACTGTTACTGTGGTTTAAGTTTGTAATAGGTCACATAAAACTCAAAAATAGTTACCAATAAATACAATGTAATAACCTTTTATCATAAGTACAACTCAAGATCCATGATCATATTATCGTTGAAATACATATATATATATGTAAGAATGCTAAAACACCCTTTAATGATAAAGAAGTGTAAATCCTCCCCCCAAAATAAAGTTTATAAAAGTAATATGTAAAACAAAGAAAGGAATGGTTCCTTTTAGAACAAAAATTGAACTTATAATGACTATAATGCAACGTAAACAGTGATACCCTTACACTAGAAACATATACATACTGGCAATTACAATCAAATTATTACAGAGATTGCGTACAGCCCAAAACAAATACAATGGGAGTATCTACAAAATTACAATTTCTACACCACTAGTGACCTCAGAACATATGAAAATACACTAAAGTTGTTGTTGTTATTGTTCATTTAGCGCAAACTATACATTGCAATATTTGATTTCTGCCCACCGCGAGGAAGCTAACCTCGGATTGTAGCGTTGTAAAACCGGAAACTTACTGCCGACCAATCAGGGGACTAGAATGAAATAACTAAAGAATCCCGTCAAATCTTGAACATAATAACACAAAAACCTTGACTGGCTATATACCGTACTCTATTACATCTATAGATTTATATTGGAGGGGTCTGAACAACTACGACCAGAACATCAGAATCTGGCAAACAAAAAGGACCATCAGAAGTGTTAGTAAGATTTCAAGCCCCGAACTAAATATAGTGTAAATAAATAAAGTATGACATTCTTTATACCCTTCCTTGCGTAAGTAAGAGTGTTTAGCATGTACATAATTTTTGGTTACCCATGCATTCACCGTACATATTTTCAAAATCCTACCTCTAGCACATATTACTTCAAAATCAAATAAAACTTTAGGTATACTAAGTTTATTATTGGTATGATGAATAAGAAATTTTCACTGATTTTCATTTTTGTGGATATTTTCAACAGCTCATGAATATTTCAGATCGACCCAGCTGAAAATATTCTTCACTAGTAAAACAAATATTCATCACAAAATGCGTATTTGGAAAGCAAGTATCACGAACTAGTTTCATCTTTCTCACCCAATATAAATTATTTCAATGTGTATTTGGAAAGCAAGTATCACGAAGTATTTTCATATTTCTGACCCATTAGAAATCCTTTTAATGTGTATTTGGAAAGTAAGTATCACCAAGTATTTTCATCTTTCCGACCCATTAGAAATCCTTTTAATATGTATTTGGAAAGCAAGTATCACCAAGTATTTTCATCTTCCTCACCCATTAGAAATATTTTTAATGTGTATTTGGAAAGCAAGTATCACGAAGTATTTTCATCTTTCTGATCCATTATAAATCCTTTTAATATGTATTTGGAAAGCAAATACCACGAAGTATTTTCATCTTTCTGATCCATTAGAAATCCTCTTGGTCATTTTTAGTCTTGCTAACTGGAAATATTTTAGGCATTGCATCCAGTAATATCAGCTGTCCTAGCTACCAATCTAATGACTGTTGTATGGTCTCCTCCAGAAAAATTCCACTACTACTCAGCTAAATAGTGTGAATGATACTACGGAAAGTAAGGCCACAACACACTTGTATCTTAGTTTTCAAAATCCTAGCAATTATTCCCAGTCGTGCAAGTTGACAATGTTCAAAGGAACCACACTTACTAACATAATCTTTCCTAACTGCATAATAATAAAATCGTTATCGCATGAAACACCACTTGAAAGATTGGAAAGTGTGGACCATCATTTATTTTGAGCAGTGAATCTATTGATCTAACATATTTTCCTAACTTATGGCTGGTCTGTCAGTTACTCCCATTCATATTAATGAAGTCTCCTTTGGAATCTTGGTCGACCAAGCTCCGTCACCTGTGTTTACTCATCTGACTCCTCTTGGACTGTATGGTTTGAGCTTATCAACATTTTCAACTTGCTTATGTACGCCATATAAACCCTGTAACTTATAGTGTGAGTGACTGAGCTGTCAAGGCCTAATTGCTTTCAAGACATATTCTCATATCAAAGCCATACCCAGTCTCCTTGATCGAACGTAAATACTTTCACTGCTCTTTCATAGCATCCCTTCTGCCTTATGATAGCCTTTTCTAATTGTTGACATTCAAATTTATGGACATCAACTAATGCAGTCCTCAAGCACTCCACTTATTCTTATGGACATTCTGACATGCCATCTTTAAGAGCAAACCACACATCACGTCCACAGAAACTGGCACTTCTTGACAAAACGTGTATGTTTGGAGTACAACCAATTTACTTCTGTTGTATAATAGGTCCTCATGATATATGGCAAGTGTTCATCTCTATTAGTTTAGTCAGAAGTAAGAAACTTTGAAGCATCTGTTTAATAGGCTGCATTACCTGTTCTGCAGAACAATCAGACATAAAGTGATGCAGTGAATTGTACATCTGCATCACACCCAAAACGTTGTATCTCACTGAAAATAACTAGCTTTTGAAATTATCGCCTTGGTTCATATGGATTTCTTTTGTGTTACAAATCATGTTATCTATTTTACACCCAACACGTCAGTGACAGAATGCACTATTGTATCAACCAATGGATAAGTTTTGGTGACGTAATCAAAAATGACCACTTAATACTAATTACCTCTTTCTATCTCTGTAAGAAGACCAGGCATATTCTCTACACTGCAGAAACAACAATTATTTCTCAAAATTTATCCTGATTTGTGCAATTTTCCTCGTGGTTGTACACATTACACTGTGTGCACCATCACTCAATGTCGCAATGCAAATACAGCTACAAAAACACTTTTGAATGTTAACACATATGTACGTTGGTAATATACACCCCTTGTATTATGCAAAGTCTGTAGTATTTCGTATCTAAGAGCTCTGTAGACCACTAGCTATAGTACAGATTGAGAACTACATCTGGTGGTTTATAATTATGGTATAGCTTTTCTGCCTACGCTCAAGATGCCCCAGGTTATATATCTGCTATGTTCCTCAATCTCCAGCTGTTATGATGTACCTTGCTAAATGATAAGTAATTGTCATGAAGTGTCATTTGAGGCACCCATCCATCTATGGAATAATCTATATGGTTCAAAATCACTAATTCTGCTATAGCTTTCAGTCCCCTTCAGTGGCCAGGATAAAGAAATTCAATGGACAAGATCTCATTATTTAGCGATACAATCTGAGAGTATTTCTGTGTTGTGGGTCCAGGTGATATTATGCATCAAAGCCATACTCTTTCAAAGTTGTGACCCAAATTGCGTTCATCCATTCCATTTTTATAATCTATTTCAGTGGTGTGAGATACTCGAAAGATCGTGAACTTTTTGTTGTACAAGTAGTCAGGAATGAACAATATTGTCATGGTTATGCTATCTCCAATGATGTTATTAAAGTACATTTTAATGACTAAAATGCACGATCACCGCCCTCAGTACATCTAAAGTCCACTTCATATTTAGTTAATTCAGACAATAGTGCAGTGATCTAAGATAAATTGGCACAAGTATTATTAGTAGTATGATGTGGATCCGAGGAATATGTGGACCTTTTCTTCAATCATGGGTTGGGCCAATCCCTAACCACTGAAATTTTCACAGACCCCATCGAGAATCTATCCCTTCCTACAAGGTGAACATGGAATTTCACCTGTATATTCGTAAGCACATATTTCATTGATTTCAGTTTCAAGGCTGCCACTCTTATCCATTGAAGAAACATGCCCAGGATCCCAACAGTAGACTGAAACTCGTGACTAAACACCAAAACATGATCAACGTAGATCAAGCATCTCTCCCATTGGAGCATACTTAGTGTAAATTGTATCAAAGATGACAAGTGTGCTACACAGACTAAATGGCATCACACAAAGTTTCTTCAGGCCCTCTCAAGTACTTAAAGTAGTTTTGGGCTTAGTTTTGTCATTCATCTCGACTTTCCAGTGCCCAGAGGTCAGGAATAAATGGTTGAACCAACGAGCAAATTCCAGTAAATCTAGATATTATTCTATCCATTGGAGTGAAAGTTATCAATGTGTATCAATGTATTCATCCATCTAAATTATTTCTGATAATCACCATTGGTGATTGCCAAGCACTGTCTGAAGATTGTATGATTCTATCCTTCAAAATCCACCATATCTCAGCACTGACTATATCCCTATAGCTCCAGGGCAGCTTGGTTAATGGTTTTGTTATGAGATGTGCATCATCTGTCTACGTGGTTGCGAATTACTTTTGTCTGACACAAGCACAGTGGCATACTCACAGAGTTGCTGTCATTATGCTGAATCCAGATTACTTTCACAATAATTACTCTCAGATTATTTTGGCAGTTGTGTAATTGCTCTAGGACGTGGGGTGCAAAAGCAGCTCCCACTTTACTTACAGCTTCTTCAGCCATATTGTTTATTACATCCACATTTAAACACTGTTCGCTAAATGAAGTGGGTATTTACATATTTTGCATTAAATTAGTTTTTAGGTCCCCGGGTGGGTCATCGGTAGTTTTATGGACTTACAATGCTAAAATTTGGGGGTTTGATTCCACACTTTGGACAGAGTGTAGATAGCCTATTGTGTTGTGATGCGCTGAAACAACAGAAACGTTTTTACAGAAAATAGTCATACCAAATGTTTTTTTTTGTTTTTTGAATTTCGCGCAAAGCTACACGAGGGCTAACTGCGCTAGCCGTCCCTAATTTAGCAGTGTAAGACTAGAGAGAAGGCAGCTAGTCATCACCACCCACCGCCAACTCTTGGGTTATTCTTTTACCAACGAATAGTGGGATTGACCGTCACATTATATCACGCAACCACGGCTGAAAGGGCGAGCATGTTTGGTGTGACGGGGATTCGAACCCGCGACCCTCAGATTGCGAGTCGAGTGCCTTAAGCACCTGGCCATGCCGGGCCTCATACCAAATGAACATGGATATTATACTTTACTAAGCTTTTTATTGGAATATGTGTTCAAGTTACGTTTGTTGCATACTACTGTCGAGGTACAATATATATCTAGGTAAATATAAATGCTGCCATTACCCGAAATTAAAGATGCAAAACTGTGTGCTGCTTGTATTAGTGATTAATCTTAGTAAAGAACAATGGACTATCTGGGAAAGGAACAATTACTTGTTTTCCCATGGATCAGCTGATCTGGATGTCCATAGTATTAAGTAACTAAAAAGCTGATTAGTAATGTTTAATTTGTGAGGTGTAAATAATGGACAACGGGAGTGTTTATGGGCTTAGTGCGTGACAGCCATGTTAATAATCCTGCTGCTGATCTTTTATATTCCAAAGTTAGACCTTGTCGGATGATATCAAGATTAAATAATACAACATGGTAACTTGCTACTTTCTGGATTCAAAATACAAATCCATATTTAGTAAATATCAGCTAGAAAAGTTAGGAAAATATTTTGTAGTTTCTTCAAATATTATATTAAAGTGTTCATTTGGCGAAAAAGAAACATAAGATGTACTATATTAATGAATTTATCACATATTATTAAGTTTGAATGGTGTCAGTAACCCTGACAGAGACAAACAACAAGAATAGCTTTTTGGGATGAATAAATGAGTTACAATAATCATAAACACATTTTCTCTCCTACTGTTTACTGGGGCTAGAATCTGGACTAAAGATACAACTTAATAAATGGACACGTACGTGAAACTGTTTTATGACCACTTCATCAACCGGATGTGCCAGGTCCTTTCCTGTAGCCGTCACTTCAGTATGTCTCTGAAAAAAAAAGATACAGTTATCAATTGATTAAAAAATCATAATTACCTTCGTTCCAAAACAAATGTATTTTCGACAGAAGCAGCGATCCTTTACGCAAGAAAATAGAATTTAATAATTTATAATTAAAACTCTTGTCCATACTAATAATTTACCGTGTACATCATAAATATCACAATTGTGATTGAATCTTATTATATTAAGAACTACGAATATAATCAATATGAATACCAATCTTTTTGCATGACAGAGATCGTTACTAACAATCCGAAACGTTATTAGATCCCCATAGAGAGACTAGAGACCTCTAGGTGTCATATTATGTCTCCATCTGATTGTACCTTTCATCAATATATATTTACCATACATCAGCTCATTATTTCACCACCATCCTGATCTCTCTCATGAACAGCTTAAAAACGTTTGAAAAACACACTAAAACTCTTGCTACAAAATAGGATACATCATCAAACAAACATAAATCTTGATTTGTAAACTTTGACATCATAAACCTAATTTCCAGACTTAATGTTGATCTGGCTTTGCTCGTTGTTAAAATATGAAGGACTTTATAAAATTCCACACAACATACATATGTTGAATTGATCATGGGTCTAATATTTCAGTGCAGAAGAAATGTCATTCGAGTTTAAAGACACTCTCAAAAACATACTTTTGGCCTTTTAATGTGTTCTTAATCTTACATCTACATGGAAAACGTTGAATCGAACGTTACAATGTTTACCCTCATGGAACTATAACTTTGAAAACAATACATTGACGATATTTTTCTCAGCTGGCCTCATCAACAAGATAATTTAGAGAGCCTCCTCTGGCATCTCAGTTCTTTCAGCCAAAACGTGTATTTTTACTATAACAACAAAACGAAAGTGATCACATATTTTTCCAGACATCACTCACTCATCGGCATTAATTCAACCAGACCATTTCTATAGAAAACCAACCCACTTAAAAAAAAAGAAATCTGTAATTTTGATCATTCACATTATATAACACGAAGAATAGACAATTTGTTTCTGTAAAAATATTGCAAGAAAAAATTAAGAAGGCCAAATAAAAAAATGAGAAAAGCCCCCAAAGATAAGGCTCTTCAAGCCAATGATTATCTACCAAGCTTTATTCAGCAGTCTTTGACTAAGTTTACAACCCAATCAACACCACAGATTGATGCAATAACAAGTCAAGTATTTATTTCAAACATGGCGAGACTATTGGAAGCTTTTTAATAAACTGAGTAGCAACTATGTAAATAAAGCAAACGAATTTTACAGTATTCATTATCCATATGGAGAGTCATATATTGGAGAACTTGGCAGAACTATAGATCATAGAGTTAAATACACCACTAGACTGTAAAGTCCAGAAAATTATGTATTGTTAATCATTTACTATCCTGGATATCTTAAAGCACTCTAGTCTTCATTATAATCCTCATAAAACGGATCAATAATTGTATCAGCAAAATGCTTCAAATCGGAAGAGTTTTTACAAGCATCAAAACATCCACATGAGGAACTCCTGCCCCATTACAACTGCATCAGCCAGCTACACCCCCTGCTTCAGCCAAACAAGTTTCAGCTTACCAGTAAGTATAACTTTTATTTTGTCTTTTTAAAGATGTCTTAAATACTAGAATGTTTAGAGCTTATTCTTCTTAGTATTAATAAATGTTGTATGTTTTTCATTCAAAACGTCTCTCACTTATTTCTTATTCTCACATTATCCTACTTGAGTTGGTAATTGCCGTGAAAGTGCTAGTGTTTGCATCCCTGGTATTTTTAAATAAATACTATTTGTATTGGATAACTATCCCTCTGATAGAACCTGTTACATCAGCATCGGTGTTGTTAACTAGTGATACAAGGTACAATCAACAGTTTTCAAACAGAGTAATAGTACTGTTAACTAGTGATACAAGGTACAATCAATAGTTTTCAAACAGAGTAATAGTATTGTTAACTAATAATACAAGGGATCATCAGTAGTTTTCAAACAGAGTAATAGTACTGTTAACTAGTGATACAAGGTACAATCAATAGTTTTCAAACAGAGTAATAGTACTGTTAACTAGTGATACAAGGTACAATCAATAGTTTTCAAACAGAGTAATAGTACTGTTAACTAGTGATACAAGGTACAATCAATAGTTTTCAAACAAAGTAATAGTACTGTTAACTAGTGATACAAGGTACAATCAATAGTTTTCAAACAGAGTAATAGTACTGTTAACTAGTGATACAAGGTACAATCAATAGTTTTCAAACAGAGTAATAGTACTGTTAACTAGTGATACAAGGAATCATCAATAGTTTTCAAACAGAGTAATACTACAATTAACTAATGATACAAGGGATCATCAATAGTTTTCAAACAGACTAACTGTACTGTCAACTAATGATACAAGAGATCATCAATAGTTTCAAACAAACTAACTGTACTGTTAATTAGTGATACAAGGGGTCATCAATAGTTTTCAAATAGACTAAATGTACTGTCAACTAATGATACAAGGGATCATCAATAGTTCTCAAACAGACCAACTGTACTGTCAACTAATGAAACAAGGGATCATCAATAGTTTTCAAACAGACTGTCAACTAATGATACAAGGGGTCATCAATAATTTTCAAACAGACTAACTGTACTGTCAACTAATGATACAAGGGATCATCAATAGTTTTCAAACAGACTAACTGTACTGTCAACTAATGATACAAGGGATCATCAATAGTTTCAAGCAAACTAACTGTACTGTTAACTAGTGATACATGGGGTCATCAATAATTTTCAAACAGAGTAGTGGTACTGTCAATTAATGATACAAGGAATCATCAATAGTTTTCAAACAGAGTAATAGTACTGTTAAATAATGCTAAAAGGGATGACCAATAATTTTCAAACAGAGTAATAGTACTGTTAAATAATGATACAAGGAATCATCAATAGATTTCAATTAGGCTAAATGTGGTGTCAACTAATGCAGAAGAAAATATCAATAAATTTAGAATAGACTAAATGTATTGTCAACTAATGCAGCAAGGAATTATCAAAAAATCTCAAACAGAATAACAATACCGTCAACTAACGCTACAATGGATCATCAATACATTTCAAACAGACTAAATGTTCTGTCAACTAATGATACAAGGGATCATCAATATATTTCAAACAGACTACATATACTGTGAACTAATGATACAAGGGAGCATCAAAATATTTCAAACAGACTGCATGTACTGTGAACTAATGCTACAAGGAATGGGGAATATATTTGAAACAAAATAAATTTGAAACAGACTAAATGAGCTAAATGAAACCATAAAACATAGCACATGAGTTTAATGAAATGTTGGGATGTATAGATTAAACTATTTGAGTTTTCAATCTTCCAAACACAATGAACCAATTATAGTATTTTGGCACTTGTGTATAAAGTTAAAATCATAAATAATATTCAACGTTAAACTGGTACACAATTAAAAACA